TTGCTTTCACGGGAGCGTCTCTCCCCCTGCAACGTGCGCCATCTCCCATTCACGCACTGCCCGGTGATCTGTCTTTCAAAGCCAGGTCTCTCACCCAAGTAGCGGACAACTGGTCAGCAAACCTGGCCTTCCAACTGTGGTTTTTTTGTCCAGAGTGAGTTCACGTACGATGCTAAGGCAAGCCAACGACATTACGGATTTGGGGGGGGGGGGGGGAATGTGGTTGCCCCCCCCCCTAACTAGGAGATCCATGGACTAGCCTTAAAGAAGAAATAAAGAAACAGAAAAATAAGGTGGAGAGCAGGTTTTGGAAGAACCAGATTCTACCCATACTGGATGGTCGTGGAGAGCAGTGCCCAATGTGTGTGTGTGTGTGTGTGTGTGTGTGTGTGTGTGTGTGTCTGCAGCATTCTTAAGTGGCCAAAGGAGCAGGGCCAATCCCATCCCCCCCCCCGGGACCCTTGACCACAACCCCAACAAAACAGTTGTTGAAGTATATCAGACTGTAGCCGCAGCAAAAACGAAAAACGTGTCTCAGTTAGAGAGAGATACGACTTAAAGCCGCCTCGAGTTTGGGCTGGAGATCTGTGGAAAGCAACATATGGGGACGGCCAAAAACAGAGGTTTGGGGGCATCAGTGTGTCCTGGTTAGACAGTACCTCAGGGCCCTGGCCAAGCAAAGCAGATAACCCTGACGACAATTGTAAGTCCTGCATCTGGGTAAGAAAAGATCCAGTGTGTAGGCAAGATCTGAATCGGTGGCAGTGTATGTGAGAAGGCTCTGGGGGTTTCCGTGGTCCATCAACCGGACACGAGCCAGCACGTGGAGCGGCAGTTAAAACCTCTTCGGTTGCATGAGCGAAACCATTGCCTCCAGGTCACAAGAAGTAACGGTTTCATTGTATTCTGGACTGTGCAGACCAGACACAGAATAGGGTGTCCAGTTCTGGGCAGCACCCTTTTAACAGAAGCCCAGAGAAGCTGGCGGGGGGCGTTCAGAGGAGAGCCACCAGGATGATAAGGGAGCTGGAAACCACAACCTTGTGAGCAACGGTGAAGGGATTGGGAATGTCAGCTTGCAAAGGGGACAGTGGAGACAGGAGGACGGTCTGCAAACCTCTAAGAGGCTTCATGTGCAAGAAGGTGGACCTGTTCTCTGTTGTGCCCGAGGGCAGGAGAAGATGCAGCGGGTTGAAAGGGAAGGAAAGGAGACCCAGGTTGCGTGTTAGGATGAATTTCCTGACGGTGGAATCGTTAAGCGGAGAAAGGATCTGCCGTGAACAACGCAGGAGTCTCACAGACGGGCTGGATGGCCACCATTCAGGGTGCTTCTGAACCTCAGCGACTTTAAGATGGGCGGACTTCAACTCCCAGAATTCCCCAGCCAGGC